GATGTTAGGTTTAAGCGTGTTCGATTTCTTGGTGAGTTTCGCTTTTCCCTGTGCAAGTTTCATATTATCAAATATTTACATATCCATAGCGCGAGAACAACTATGAACCATATCCATTGGAACAAGTACGACACATGGCCTATCAATTATGTTACTCAGTGAAATTTTTACATGAAAATCGTTTAACGCACACTGATCTTAAGCCTGAAAATATACTCTTTGTGGATTCGGAGTATACAACGCACTACAATCACAAAATTGTAAGTATGAAATTTGAGAATTGTACCACTAAAATATAAAAATTAAAAATGTTTCGAAGAACTTAATTTGCCAAAACATGCTGTAAAGCTTATACATATGTATATATACTAGAACTGTGGAAAAACGTGTTTTTTCTTCAATCTCTCAAAAATTTAGGATTAAATACAGTACTTTCTGCACACTAATAGAGACAGGCGATACTGAACTTGCTGCAGCTCTAGCAACATTATTTGTAGTGTTGGGCAGTATCGAAACTCGATTCTCAAAAGGATCGGCAGTATCCGATTTTAAAAAATATCCATACTGAGTACTCCAAAGTACTCAGTATACACAAAATAACTTGAAAGTAATAAAAATTTAAAAGAACTCGAAAGTACTCAGTACTGAAAAATACTCTGTTCCAAACATCAGCTTGATACATGTGCTCAGGATCGATTCAAAGTACTCAGTATTAAGTGCCGAATAGATACTTAAAGCTACTGAGTTCTATTTACATTTAATGGCTCTCAGAAATTATTGTACACAATTTCAAATTTCAGTAATTTTCTAGCACAATACTTCTACAGTTTGTACAGCCATTCTTCTGGCATAATTTGGGATAAGTATATAACTTGAATAAAGTACTACCAGCTTGTAAGATTTTTACACTAACCATTGCAATGTTACCGACATATGTATATATAAAGAATGTACTCAGTACTCTCAAAAATACACGGTCCTTAAAAGTATCGATACCATAGTACTCGACCTTCAAAAGTTCTCGATTCTTCCCAACACTAATTATTTGTTTGTTTATGGGGTCATGTAAGGCCAAACACTATCAGTTTTGTCAGCCCTTGACCTACCATAATATTCTACATACAGTCATACATATTACATAAAGTAAACAATATTCACTACTCTACGAATTCACATGCTCCCTTTAAGGCAACTCCCCTACAATTTTACCATTATTATTTCATTGTACTTCCTGGTTTTTTATGGTTATGTAAGGCTTTCAACTTTAGTTGCTTAATAGGCTCAGCTATTGTATAAGCCTCTGTTGCGAAATTTGCATTGATTTGACTTCACTAAGCTTGTAGAAGTTTAAAAGCTGGCTGCACCATGAGCTAGTCATTTACTGGTGGTATAAAGGTGTTCCATTGATTCATTCTCTTCACTACAAAATCTGCAAATATCTGTAGCCAGGCCAGTTAGTGCTCCACATTGCGTCCTTAGGTTGAACTCTTTTGTCACTGATGCAAGAAACTTCTTTGAGTAATGATGGTGTCTTTCTGGACTGGTCTAATGGCTAGTAGTGAAATTTTGCCCACTTGTTAAGACCCTTTTTCATGCCATTGTTGTTCAATGCAAGGAATCGGCTGAATCCAATGAATGTCCCCTTTTTAGCTTGGAGCTCTGCTTTATCATTACCATCATAGCCTTCATGATCAGGCACCCAGATTAGGGAGACTATGATGAGTATACATAGGAGACTATCAACAGCTTTTAAACAGAAAGTATAGAGATCTTTTTTCTGGCAAATTGCCGGTGTCCGACAAGGTTGCCTTGATTGAATTTGCAGGCTGTGTTGTTTTCATTTAATCTTACACTGTTTTTAATTGCAAGATTTTTGAGTGAATATTATGGGTTTGACCAGTTCAGCTCATTTTGGGATTCAGACACCATGTTTGAAATATGACTCCAAGGTGAGTTTTCTATCCGGGGTTATGCCTGGATATTTAGCTTCTTCCTTTAAGGGAATCACAGACCCACTAATATTTAGATCTGGAAAACAAAGCTTCCATTTTCTGGTGAAAAGGATGATTGTAGTTTTGTTGGGATTTATATTCTATTGAGATATTTAGGACTTCTTGCTTGGGACGCAGTTTAAAAAAGCGGATAGAAGGCGACTTGAAGAGGTTTCAAATCAATCATTCGGCATTCCGCTAATGGAGGCCCGGTTAATACGAGTTCAGCTGTACGCCTGAGCTTATATGGCAATCATAAGACCTCGTCAGTTTCACTTAGATTTCCTCAAGTTATCTATGGTTCACTGGCTAGTTTTAAAAGTAATCGTGCATAAATTTTCTAAATTAAAAATGAAACCAAGTAGATCTTTTTAGGCTACTTATTTTAAACTTATGAAAAAAAAGCAAATCTAAAACTATACTGAATTTTATTTTTCAGAATCGTGAGGTG